TCGTGCACCGAGCCTCTAGTTAAAGTATATTCTTTAAATTAGTGAACCTTATGGTATATAAATTATATATCAATAAACTTTAATGAATACATATTAATGAAAATATAAAGTCTATGCAGAAAATTGTTCTAAAGAGAGAACCTGGGATCTAAGGGCAATTTAAATATACAGTCTATTTTATAAGTATCTAGTGACCACTTACTTCTGAAAGGATAATATAGACCTGTGCTGCCGAAACCGGTTTGGCTCAGTGGATAGAGCGTCAGCCTTCGGACTGAAAGGTCCCGGGTCCGATTCTGGTCAAGGGCATGTACCTGGGTTACGGGCAGATCCCCAGTAGGAGGTGTGCAAGAGGCAACTGATCGATGATTCTCTCTCATCGATGTTTCTAACTCTCTATCCCTCTCCTTTCCTCACTGTAAAAAAATCAATAAAATATATTAAAAAACAAAAAAACAATATAGACCTGTGCTGTCCAGTTTGGTAGTCGCTAAGTCACAAGTAGCTATTGAGCACTTAAAGTATGGGCAGGTTCACAGTGTAAAGTAAACCTAGAATTAGTAAAGACTTAGTACAAAAAACAAAACACCAAAACCAAATATCCCACAAAAAAAAGCCCACAAAGATTATGAACTATCTCATTAATTTTCACACTGAGTTGTCATATTATTATGATCTCTGAACGCAAAATAATATGGTCACTGTGTGTGTGTGTGTGTGTGTGTATTAGAGGCCTGCTGCATAAATTTGTGCATAGGTGGGGTCAGGTCAGCCTGGCCAGGGGGAAGGAACATTGGCAGTTGGCTGGCCTGCCTGCAGGTCAAACTCCTGATCGAGGGGACAGTTTGCATATTAGCCTTTTATTATACAGGATATACACTGGGTGGCCAGATTATTATGTGTTCAGAGATCATAATAATCTGACCACTCAGTGTATATTAATGATATGTTAAAATGATATTTTGGACATACTTGGTTAAATAAACTACATTAATAAAATTAATTTTGTTTATATAGTTGTAGGATATGTTCATATCAACTAATCTTTTTAAAAATATATATTTTTTTATTTGATTTTAGAAAGGAAGGAGGGAGAGAGAAATATCAATGATGAGAGAGAATCCTTGATTGGCTGCCTCCTGCATGCGTCACACAGGGGATTGAATCCACAACATATGCCTTGACCACGGAATTGTACCATGACCTCCATGGTTCTTAGGCAGACGCTCAACCACTGAGCTATACAGGCTGGGCTCACCTAATCTTGATGAAGAGCTGGTCAAGTCCTCAACTGTAGGATCCTCCCAGATTAGGTGTACCGGTTAATAACAGTGGATTTTGTAATCAAAGAAAGCACAATAATTTCAAGAGAAACATCAAAAGTGCTTTATTCAAAGAATATCCATCACTAGCTACAGATTTTCGGGTAATTTATGGATACCGTCCCAATAAAAATTTGTTTTGAGGCAAACCATTCAGAGATCCAATTTTCCACTTCATATGTTTTGAAATGCTGCTCAGAAAGTGCGTGTGCCGTCAATTGGAACAAGTGGTAATCTGAAGGAGCAAGGTCTGGTGAATACATCAGGTTAATACTTCCCAGGCAAGATCTTTTTTTTTTTTTTTTTTATGTTACAAAAAGACACTAGCTTTAATACTTAAAAACAACAACTATGTTTTGATTTTTTTAAATTGATTATGGTCTCACATAATTGTCCTTATTCCCCCATTCCCATCCCAAACCCCTCCCTAGATATGCGCCTCCCCCCACCCCCGTTGTCCATGGCCACTGACTAGGCCCATATGTATGCACACAAATCCTTTGGTTGATCTCTGCCCCTTACCCTCATCCTCCCTTACTTTCCCTCCAGGCAAGATCTTTTAACTGGTTTTAAAGTGTGTGATGGTACGTCATCATGAGGCAAAGCTACTTTGCTATGTCTACTGGAACATTCTAGTCATTTCACGATCAAAGCATGGTTCAAACAGATTATTTGTTGTCGGTAGTGATCAGTATTAACGATTTCACCTCTTTTAGAAGCTCAGAATACAAATATTCCTGATCCCACCAAACACAGAGCATTGTCTTCTTTCTGAAGCGATTTGGCCTTGATGTTGATGGTTGACCTGGATCAATCCATGATTTTGTGTATTTGGGATTCTCAAAATAAATCCACTTTTCATTGCCAATCACAATTCGATGCAAAAAGACTTCCTTTTGTGTCGTTGAAGCAAAATTTTACCGATGACTCTTCGGTTTTTCATTTATCTTTCGTTCAGTTGATGTGGCACCCATTTTTCTTCCTTTAAAATCTTTCCCATTGCTTGTAAACGGTCGGAAATTGTTTGCTGAGCAACATTTAATCTTTCTGCAAGTTGTTTTTTAGTTTGACATGCTTCTTCATCCAATAATGCTTGTAATTGTTGGTCTTCAAACTTTTTCGGTTGACCTGGATGTTCTTTATCTTTCACATTGAAATCATCACTTTTAAAGCATTTAAACCAGCGTTCACAAGTATCTTGAGATGGAGCATGTTCACTATAAGCTTTCCGAAATATATGATAACTTTCGGCAGCACTTTTCTTCAAAATTAAATATGAATTAAAACTTCCTACAAATGCTCTTTTTTGGGCATGAAATTTGACATTAAAAAAAAATATATATTTTAATGATTTTTTATAGAGAGGAAGGGAGAAGGATAGAGAGTTAGAAACATCGATGAAAGATAAACATGGATCAGCTGCCTCCTGCACATCTCCTCTTGGGGATGTGCTGCAACCAAGGTACATGGCCTTAACTGGAATTGAACCTGGGACCTTTCAGTCCACAGGCCAATGTTCTATCCACTGAGCCAAACTGGTCAAGGCAAATTTGACATTTTTAAATGTAAAAATATCTATGATGTTAACACCTTCAGCAAATTTGACATATGAAGTTTTAGGCTAATTTTAGGCTCTTGCCCTGGATAAAATGGTCAATACAACAAAATAACATACCGTATTTTTCGGACCATAAGACGCACTTTTTCCCCCCCAGAAGTGGGGGGGGGAAAGTCCCTGCGTCTTATGGTCCAAATATAGCCTACACATAGACTTAAAAAAAAAAAAAGTTTTTTTACTTGCCCAGCTCTGTGTGGTCTCTGTGTGCTTGCCCGGCTCTAAAATGGTTCTAAATGCTGTTTACTTTACAGGGTTGATTACATGTGTTTATGACTGTGATGTTGGGTGTTAATGCACATAAAATATTTTAGGACACTATTTGTTTCAGAATCTTTTTTTCTTCATTTCCTTTCTCTAAAAACTGGTGCGTCTTATGGTCCGGAGCGTCTTATGGTCCGAAAAATACGGTACATATCAAATTGCATATATATCAAATAACATACATATCAAACTGCCTATAATTACATATGTGTAACTCCATCTATTGAAAAAATCCGCATTATTAACCAGTACACCTATAATCTCTGCTTTGCTCTTCTCCTGCCCCTCACTTCCTCTGCAGTTCTCTATGAGTGGTCACTAGCTATCTCTATTGGTATACAGGAAGAAATAAGTCTAACACAGCCCACCTGAAAATCCCACTGAACAAGTGGTGCTCAGGCTTTGCTACATAGTAAAACCTCCCAGAAATTTTAAACTCCCAATGCCAAGTGATATCTCATACCAATTGTAACAGAATATGAGAGATGGGTAGCCAGGTATCAGAACTGTTAAAGATGCCCAGGGTGACTCCAATGTGCAGCAAAAAGTTTGGGAACCAATGCTCTAATAATTATTTAGAATTTCTAAGATGAAAGATCCAAAACTGGTAGGAGCTTAAACTTCTACCCATAGCATGTTGGCTCTAATTAGCTAATACTAAACTGACCCAGAATAATAAAAGTATCAAATCAGCTATCTTCTTATATCCCTTTGGGGGTTTTATAAGGTAATATTTCAAACTAGCTGATTCCAATATTTTATTATCCTACTAGAAGAATAGTCCTCCAAAGTGGCTAGTATATCAATCTATATTTCCATCAGTATTAGATGGAAGTTTTCCCATTTTTACCAGCATGTGACAATGTCATTTAAAATTTTATGCCATACTAAAATTATTTAATTTAACTGACATTTATTTAGGACTTGTTGTATACCTGCTATAGGGGCATTAAAATTGCTAATTCGTTTAAGTCTCAAACCATCATTAAGAGTACAGGTACTATTGTTATCCACATTTTACATAGGAGATCAAAGCACAGAGAGGGTGAATAAACTTCTCCTGCGGTGAAGCAAGGAATCAAACGCATGCACCTAAAAATAATATAATGCTGCCTCCCATTTTTATTTTAAACCCCCATATCTTACTTAATCAGTTTAAAATAGTCAGATTTACACAGATTAATTTATAAGGCACAACAGAAATGTGGCTAAAAAAAATCACACATACAGTGAAAAGACTAAACCATGTAACCATGAAAAATTATGTATTAGAAAAATTCATTCAAAATTCACAATTATTTATCAGGCCCCCACTATGTGGCAGACAACCGTTCTAGGCACTGAGGAAAGAGTGCCATTGTGGGTAACACAGTGATAGTATGAACAATAATTCAAAATATATTTTATTTCATGAATACTGAACAGCAATTTTAAATTGTGGTTCATTAATGTAGTTTAGTATCAGAAAAAAATCTATAACAATTTTAAAAAATATATCTTGATTATGCTCTTCATTATAAATGAGAAAAAGACATCTACTGAAATTTAATTACTTTTCTTGTTAAAAGAAACATTTTTTTGTTAAAGGTTTTGCAAACTATGTCCCCATTTCAAGCAGGCACGTGCTAATAGGTAACATCCAAACACAATAGCTGTTCAATAGTACCAGGAACCCAACAATACAATTTACTGGAGAAAGGTACACATTTCAGAACTGAGATTTTGGCTTTTAAAGAAAAACATAATTACAATTTTTAAATGACATTAATACCAAGTAATCCAAAGTAAAATTTACTTACTTTAGCAATCTGCAGCAACACAATGCAGTGTTTAATTGATTCTACCATGCTCTATAAAAACAAAACACTAATTTTAGGCTCTTGCCCTGGATAAAATGGTCAAATGGTGTTAAAGCTCAATATATAAAAATGAATTAAAATATACAGGGTTTAAGGTCTATACTATAAAAGCAACACCCTCTCTGGATATCCAGTGGGTTTTAATATGCTGATAGTGTCAAATGAAGTTGTTATTAGCAATTCTACGAATTGTTAAGGAATGCCAAAAAATGTTAACCTAGACTGAATAATATCTAAATGATCTTCAACACTTTAAACTGAATTAACTTCCAAATTCTTAGATCAACAGCTGGCAACCCACCGTAAATTTCTATAACATCCATTCAAGACTTTTATGGAATTATGGAGAGTAAGGATCCTATCAAAATATTGGTGAACGTGGAATACTATTTTGCCTGTTTTTAAATGCAAATCTTAATAGTAGACCATTATATAATGTCAGAAAACTGTGACATTAGAAAACTTGAATTATGATATATTTTAATTTAAAAAAGAGAATACATGCTGTGGATATATGACACCTTTTATCCAAGGATCTCAAATAGACAAGACCAGAAAAAGATAAAATGGCACACAAAGTCAATTTCAATTAGAGGAATTATTCATTTAAATTCCTTTAAAAAACAATAGTTATTAAAATACCCTTGCAAAAATTCATAAAACTAAATTTTAAGTTGCCCTTATTAATAAGAGGAGCAGCTTAAAATAGAAATAACATTTCAAAGTACTTTTTAACACAAAGGCAGAATTTATGAAACACATAACTTACATTTGTTGTCTCTTTGAGAGTCTCAATTTTCTGTGAAAAATAATGTTTAAACAGAAATAATCAGAAGCACAAAGAGGTATGACTGTTTTTTTACTGGTTAGTCATTTAAAGAATTTTACCAAAATGTACTCATTACTCTGAGTTCAGGTAGGCTGGGAAGGGAGTACTTTTGGTTAGACCTCGTGTTTTTCTTTTTTTTTTAATTTAAATCAAATATTTAGTTTAAGAATTCAGACATTTTATGAATTAGATCCTCAAATAAAATCATGTGATTCCATTAATAACTTGTAAAAATAATGTAAAACTTTTATTCCTTACATAAAATAAGTTTTTTCTATAAATCCACTTTGTGATTTTAAAATATTTATTTTAGAATCACCTCAAATTTTGCTAAGCTGTTTAAAAATGACATGGTACTAAATTCTAAAACTAAGACTGGAAGGCGAGCCAAACATGAAATACTGCTATAACCAAGTGTAAAAGCCAAATGCAAGACTATGGTCAACAGAAGTGGAAACAAAGTTGCATTAGGAAAATTAGTCATAGATAGAAAAAATGTAAATTAGAAAAAGAAAATAATATTCAAACTATAAAGTAGCTGTTAGAAATCCAGTAGCAGGACTAAAATTAAAGCAACACTTATTTTGTTTACTCATGTGTGGCTTCTTGTTTATTCTGAAAATTCTTGACGGTTGGTTTAATATTTGAAATTACCCCATGTAAATTTAATAACTTTCTACCTTCAACGTGATACCTGAAGAGAAAAAAAAACTTACTCCTAGGAAGGTGGTACTTATAAAAAGAGTATCATATTAAAATTTTGTGCATTGCCCTTTTGTTTAGTTATGAAACCATGTAAAAATTCAGCACAAAACTCCCCTTGAAAGCTATGTGGCAGTAATATTATAATAGGTCAATAGCAGTCAATAACACTGAGGTCCTTCTGTTATTTCTCCAAAATGCTCTTCAATTTAAAACATTTTAAGTAAAAGTCATGAGGTTACCTTTCTCTGTTCATCATCTTTGCAGTGTGTCATAAAAAAGCTACAGGATTAAAAAAGATGATTATAGAGTAAAATCATGAAGTTACCTTTCTCTGTTCATCATCTTTGCAGTTTTGAAGTTTGTCATCAAAAAGCTACAGGATTAAAAGAATGATTATAGAATTTAGCCATGTTACTACATTGGGCACATTTACTAAACATAGAAAAGCGAAGTTTAGTTCTTACGCACACTTCTTCTAAGGATGATTTATATGTATTTTCAAAATAACATTTTTTTCAAGGCATTGTACCAATTCAAATTTCACTGCATTATTTTAAATGGTTGGGATTAATTACACTGGTGAAATCACAAATAAAATGTGACTTTTAAGAACTTAAAATAATAATTCAAACCTAAGTTTTTTCTACTTTGTCCTTCAAGTTTATCAACACCTCTTTTTTCTTCCCAGGACCTCTGGCTATATTTAATTTTAAAGTAGAAATAGAAGAAGACAATTTCAATAATAAAGAAAGTAGAGAATCACTTCTCCCAATCCCCACGTCCCAGTTTGAAAAAGGAAGGCCTGCCTAGCCGATTTGGCTCAATGGACGGAAAGGTCCCAAGTTCCATTCTGATCAAGGGCACATGCCTGCTCAATCTCCAGCCCTGGTTGTGGCACATGTAGGAGGCAACCAATTGATATTTCTCTCTCTCCCTGTCTCTCCCCCTCCTTTTTACTCTCTCTAAAAATTTAAACAAAAGCAAGACTTTAGATATAAAGCTACTTAAAGTTTACCACTTTCACAGAATTTAAAAAAAAAAATATATATATATATATATTATTGATTTTCCACAGAGAGGAAGGAAGAGGGATAGAGAGCTAGAAATGTCAATGAGAGAGAAACATTGACCAGCTGCCTCCTGCACACCCCCTGCTGGGGATGTACCCGCAACCAATGTACATGCCCTTGACCAGAATCGAACCTGGAACCTTTCAGTCCGCAGACCAATTCTGAGCCAAACAGGTTTTGGCTGCTTTCACAGAATTTTTAAACAGAATGTGAAACTAATCTTGTCTTGCTTTCTTCTTATTATGTCTATTTACCTTTTTATTGACCAAAAAAGTACATTATGTACATATACCATTTACCAATATTACTATATTTAAAGATTTTTGAAATTAAGTCACCAATATCTTTTAATAAGTCAGCTTTAAAAATTAGTGAAGAATCATAGTATTGTAAATTAATATCAAATCAATAACCGTTTTTACTCAAAAATCAAGCTCAGTAACATCTGCTACTTTAGATCAATTCAATATATAAACGAATGCCATACCTTTAATTGTTCTATCAAGATTTGTAGGTAAGCATCAGCCTCTGTAAGTTTCTTATCAAAGTCTTGGACGCTAGGAACAAATCCTGAATCCAAACCCTTGAGAAAAAGAAAATTTACAATAAATCTAGCAGTACCTAAGCAACACTTAATAGTACAAAAGATACTTTATCATCACACATGATATTATAATTTTAAAATAAAAAAAGTAAATACAGTACTTTTACACAAATTTCTTTTGAAATTACTTAAATTCTCTAAGGACAATGGTACATCAAATCTCCTCATGAACTTCTAGCACTTCTCCCTTGTCATCAATTAACATGTGCTGGTGCTCAAATTCAGATTCATCGTGCTATTCAGAATCACTTTCTTTTCTCCCAAAATGCCCCATAAAGGCTCCCAGTCACCTCCAGAGCAATGTAGTAATGCAGCTAAAAGAACATACACAAAACAACCTCCATTACCTATTTTCCCTCTACTTTTTGTTCAGTCCATCCCTTCAGTCCTTTAATCTTAACTTCATATTCTCACTACTTAGTTCTCCAGGGCCTTAACCCACCTCATTAGTTCTGTTTTCCTCCTCCTCCTATTTAAAAGAAAAAAAAATAATAACCTAAAAATTCTTACTTTGTCTAAGAAGAGTACTGTAAGTGAAAGTGACAACACTTCTGTCTTAATCAAGTTCCCTACTCACTTTCACCCTTGGCGTAAACACTACACTCTGGACAAGGCGTAAATGTTTATTTATTTAGAGGACCCATTTATTTTTCAGTTTAACAGTCTGATATTTGCATGTCCTACTTTTTGTACCCTAAAATTTGTAAGTTCTAAGAGCATGGGATTCCTATTTTTTTAACTCTCCTTACTCAAAAGAAACTTTTGAATTCTTAAATTATCTCTTATATGAAAAACATCAATTGTGGGTGTAAAAGACAAAACAGCTGAAGTTTGAACAAGACTATCAGCTTGCCATATATGCATGCTCAGATGTCCTGCAGTTAAACTGGGAAATAAGGGTCTGGAACCACTAATATCACATTCCAATCCAGCCACAAAACTCTGTAAATGGGTGAAAAATAGTGGGTCAACCTACTATATACTTGACTCTCACTTGTCATATCTTCCCTACCTTTGGCCAACATATAATGATCATTTTCACATTCTTCATTTTGGTAAACTGAGGTCAGAATTCTCTTTTTATTACACCAATTCCTCATCTTTGCATAATACCTTAACCACTACTGAAGCACTTCCACAGCCATTATCTTAAACACCAGATTGAATGATATAGTATTATGGAAACACCAATGGGCTGGCAAACCTGGTTTCTAACTGCAGCTCAGTCACTAACAGGTGTTGTGTCTCTCTAAGCTGCTGTTTTCTTACCTGACAAATATAGGTGGCCTCTCCTACTAATATTAATGTGGCAGCTACTACCTCTATTAAGAACATATTGTTACTAACACTATCAATTACTACTATTAGTATTGTTGCTCTTCCTAAACTGAAATTTAAATTCTGAATCAAAACAATAAAAACAAAACAAAACAAAAACCTATTTAGTCCAAGGGAAAATCAATGCATTTTCTTTTTCAAATTCAAAGGCAATAAATTGCCTATATTTTACATACATGCCTACATTTTTACATGTATGTAAAGAAACTGCTTGAAATTAGTATTGGAAAGCCTCTTCCCAATGAGAGATGTCATATATAAAAACAAAACATAAGGGGGAAAAATCATAAACTATGTATGCAAAATCCAGATATATTTATAAAAGTGTGGCTAAGTAGCTTCATTTTCAAAGGTAACTCAAAAAGCTTCCTATTAGAAACACTTATTATGTGCAGTATGATAATAACAGGTGTGGAAAGGAAGGATAAATCTCACATTTCAGAGTGACTGTTATACTATTCTTAGAAAGGAGTAAGTTATTTCCATGTTACTGTACCATCCCCTAACCCCCACCCCAAAAAATTAGGACTGCTTGGCTTGGTTTTTGTTTTGTTTTACAAAGCAATATAATATTATCAATAATTTAATGATAAAACCCAGTTAAAATCAGCTAAATACATTGTTCTTGTTTAACGGCACATTCAAAATGAATAAAAGGTGAAGCATCTTAGAAAGTGATTTCTAAGAACTTTCCCTCTTTTGAATCCACTTAGAACTACCATTGTAAAATCTAATTAACCTACCCTTTTAAACAATCCTTACCACTAAAAGTCTCTAGTTAATACACAGAAACAAATTAGATTCAAATTACTGAGATTTAAACCCACATAAATTAATTCTTCAAAAACAACCCTTTGAACTTCACCTTGGCTCTTTTCTCAGTCCTACCTCTAGTCTGCCACAACATTCCTACACTGTCAGAATAAACTCCAAATGGCACAACATCCAAGTCAAAGATCTACTCAGCAACCCATCTTTCTGTATAAAATGTATGATAGAAGGTTTATTACAACAGTTATTAGCTTAAAATCTCAGAACTGGCCTAAACTCCTCTGCACAGTCATCCATAAATCTTTGGTGTACTTTAAAAAGAAAATCTACATATACAGTTGCCCACATGCAATCAATAAAATGACATTTACAAATTTATCAGTAACATAGACAAAGCGTTTACAAATTTATCAGTAACACAGACAAGGAACAGATAGTAATTTTCTCAAATCTTGAAAAATGCACTAGAAGAAATACAACTTTTCACTATAAATTGACTTATAGTACATAGATAGAATCAAAGCCACCTAGTTCAACCTCCCACTCATAGAAGTGACTTTTATAATATCTTTGAAAGTCATCTAATATCTTTGCTTGAGTATCTAAATACAAGGAACTTATTACCTCCTAACAAACTTTTTCATAAGAATTCTCTAAAGTCATAACTGCTCCTCTTTCCATTCAGCATTTACAATGTAAGATTCAACACTTATTTATATCCTCTTTAGTGGAGTTTGATTTTAAAACCGATCATAAAAAATACAATATAGTCCTTTACTATGTTAATAGTGGTCTGTCTTTGAAAATAACTTAGAACATGGCAGACTCTTTAAGACAGTGTGACTTCATACTTCAAATTAATTAAACAACCTATATATTTTAAATAAATCTCAATCTGCAGGTTGAGAATCAAGCAGATGTACTTTCTGGTACTCTACTCACCTTATTGAACATCTATCACATTTTATCTAAGTTAAATATTTAAGTAATTGACTTATCAAATAAACTCCATGAGGGCGGGAACTGTGCCATTCAACAATATACCTCCAGGACTAGCTCAGTGTTAATGACTGTTGTGGCACTGACTAAAGCCATGTGGCAAATACTAGTGCCATGGTAGCCATCTTCTTTATGACCATCTCTCTTTAGCCTTTCTGTTCTCGCTCCCCTTCCCTTTTCCAACTTCCTCTCTCTCTTCACATCTTTCTTTTCTTCTCATTTGTCTATGTCCTTCAGCAGTGACTGAGGTGATTCTGTAGCACTTTTGGCACTTGGGACCCAAGAGGTTGCTGCTCCCCAATTTATAATATTGATGAGCCATAGCTCTGTCTGATTTCTGTTTAAATTCATTTAAAGTTTAAATTAAATGTAACCAATATAGAGAATTAAAGATGAAATGTCCTGTTATGTAAAAGAAGTTAAATTAGAAAAACTGCAATAGAAATCAAATCTAAATCTAATCTTTAAATGAGAACTCTATGCAAAGAAAAAATATTACTTGTGACAAATAATGCTAAACCAAAATAGTCTCTAGTTTTTAAAAACACTTTGCTAATAAAGAAATCTAAAGTGTGTGTGTGTGTGTGTGTGTGTGTGTGTGTGTGTGTGTATATATATATATATAAAGTTTTTATATCAGGATCTATGTAACTAATTTAAAATATATACACAGAGGCACACATCTTGGCCCAACTGAAGGGAAATTTCAAAAATAGTAGAAGAATATCATACTGCCTCAAAACCGTATGAAAGTACTCCCTACTGCCTTTCTAATACTTATGTTGAGCAGTATCACTTTTCTCAGAAGGTACTTCTCAAAGCTAACAAATGTCAGCAAAATTAAATGAATTCCTATTGATGACTTGAGTTGGGACATTAAACACTATTTATACTTTATATATACATACAACTGAACACATCACCTCCATTTTAAAAACAAGGGGGGTATTGCAAGGTATGTCCTTAAAACTGAAGTACACATTAATTGCAGCTACTTTGGGGAGACTCTTTTATTAAATCTAAAATAGTACAGGAGGCAATTTTTAAGATTAAGAACTGTTCATGTAATTCCTGCTGACAGAGAAAGAGTAATGAATAGTGGAAGGAAAGGTGATAAAAGGTGGTTTAAGGTCTTCTGAGGTCAGAATCAGGAAATAAGAAACTTACAGGTAATTTGAGGAACTGAGGAGAATAGCACAAGGAGAAAGGCTATAGATGAATAACATTATAAAAAGAAATTTACAAATGAGTAATTATTTTCACATATCAAATCTTATTTCAGACCTAAACAGTTTGGCTCAGTGGACAGAGCATCAGCCTGCAGACTCAAGGGGCCCAGGTTTGATTCCAGTCGAGGGCATGTACCTTGCTTGCAGGCACATACCCCATGGGGAGTGTGCAGAAGCAGCTGATTGATGTTTCTCTCTCATCAATGTTTCTAACTCTCTATCCCTCTCCTTTCTTCTCTGTAAAAAATCAATAAAATATATATTTTTAAAAAATCTTATTTCACAGCAAAACTAAGGACTAAGTACCCTGGCTATATTCAGTGCTTTCTCTTGTGCAGACAAAATTGTTATAAAGTAAAAATACATTGCAAAAAAGAGAAAAGAAAAATAAATTAGAAATAGAGACATTATTCCATGCCAGTCTCATAGAAAAGTTCAGAATAACATAGAATAAATTATCAGTAGAACTGTAAAAGGAAATAACAGATTAAAATTTTAACAAAGGAAAAACACTCCCCTCCACCCCCCAAAAAACAAGTCTCCCAATGAAAAATAAATGGCATGAATCCAGACAAAAGCAGATGATTGTTAAAAATTAGCAAAGCTACAAAGCCTAAAATTAAAATGAAAACTATGCAGAAATGTCATTTTGATTAAAATATGAGTATTTGGAAAGTTAATGTTCACAATTAGCCATTTCAGATGACATGCATCACAGGTACACTTTCATCCAATGAAAGAAGTATAGCGTATACTTACAATTGAATCACTTACAATTATTTTTGAAAATTCAAGAACTGGAGAGATACCAGAAGACTGGAAAAAAGCAAGTGTGGTACTGATCTTCCATAAAGGTAAGGAAAAAAGAGAATAGAAAGTTACCATGCTGTGAGTGTGACATCAATAATTAAAGGAATAATAAGAGGAAAATCTGTAGTTATACAGAGGAAAAGTAGATACTTGAACAGCAAACGGCAAGTTAAAAAAAGGAAAGAAAAAAAAAAGAACTCCAAACTTAATGGCTTTCTGTTCCTTAGAAATTTGCTAACAAATTGTGTTGTAGGTTTTTTTTTGTTTTGTTTTGTTTTTGAGAAAATACACCATTTTGTCTTCTTACCAAATGATTTAGAACCTAGCTTATTGATTAGGGAGGGGGGAAGCATATTAAAGAAACCAGAAATAGTAATAAAACCATGATTCTATGTGGAGAATACTAGTCTGTGATTTCCTTGGATTATTATAAAGTTAGAAACATTTATAATCCTTAATATCTCTTGTTTATTCACTTTGGCTAAGGAAAGAGTAAGAACTGCTCCCTATTTTAATTCTAAAGAACACCCAGCTATTGATTCATTTGGAGTTCAGATTATCCTAACCAATTAATGTGAATATACTGGTGAAGTTCTTCTCTCCAACTCCACTTTCTCTACTCCACTTCCTCCACTCAAAGTTGTTGGAAAGATAAAATGAAAGGATATGTGTAAAATATCACAACAGTAGGTGTTTTACTTCCTCTGTCTAATTTGGAATGATAAATAACCAAGACTCACCACTGCATCCCAAGGCTTACAGTGGTATCTAACATACAGAAGTAGAACTAAATGAATATTTGATGGATTAAAAAAACAAAATGAACTAATAACTAAATAGTAACACAAAAACATGCAACTTTAATAGAGATCTTTAATCAAGAAAGGATATAAATATAAGTTATATTTAATAGTCCTTTAAAAAAATGAACAGTAAGTTAACTTTGAAGAAGATAATAGTAATCAAAAAGTATGAACAGACAAAACAGTGATAAAGTACAGTCTTGGACACATACAAAATTCCATACGAGATGTTCAGAAAAGTACTGGTATTATGCCTGAATCACAAAAGGTAAATAGCACTGAATTTTTACCTTGTTAACAGAGGCAAATGATATTTAAGAAAGCCTTTTCTTTTCTCATAAAATAATCTGATTTTTGAAAATACTTTAGTTCTTTGAAAAGCAAAATCTTTTATGTTTAAATTTACAGAGAAAATAGCTCATGCATTATATGCATTAACAATATGCATAACATTAAGTTTCTGCTTAAAAAACACACACCACAAAACAAATCTGAATTGCTCATATAGTTGGGACAAAAAGAACTGCTTTGCCAAAGAGAAAGGAGTTACAGACTCCATTGCCAAAATTTATGCACTTTAATTACAACTTTCTGCACAACTGCTTATTCTTTATGATCTCTTCATCTAACACTGACACCATTCTGTGACTTATGGAACAAACCACTAGTATTGATTCCATAAAGTGATTTGGTGACTCACCCACACAAAAAAGGTTTGGAATTGGTACTATCTTCCTCTATTTAAATCACTGATAACTTGTCCTTCCAAAAGCCTTTCCAAATTTATTTAATAAAGCCATATAAAAGTTGTCAAAACTATATAAAACAAAAACTTGGAAGTTTATAAATAAGATGACCAAATATCTTAGTTTGTCTGAAACAGTCCCTGTTTCTGCCTATTGTCTCAGCAAAATTATTAGCAACCTCCTGACTCTAAAAAGTGCCCCAGTTTGGCCAAGAAATTATATGGTCTCTCTTTATAAAGAGGATGTAACTAGTATTTTAGAGATATAAAGGTCTAGAAAGCATATAAGTTGTTTAAGAGGTTTCAGAAAGTAGTAAAATACTTAAAATTAAACAAGAGTTTATAGATTCTGAATGTACAAAGCAAACAAACACACATCTGAATTCAAGTCAATTAATATTAACTTAGTCCTCACCTTTTGCTACATGAGTAATAGAGAAGTTACATTTTAAAAAACTATTTTATTCACAGAGACACACACGGAAACAAAACACATGAAGCATATATGTTACTCCTGGGGAGTGGGATGGAGGGAACGGGGGAACTTGAGACAGTTCTTTATATATTCATGTCATCTGACTTTTTTATAAGTATGCATTTATTTTAATTCAAAAACTTTATGTAAAAAATATTTTGAAACTGCACAGATGATATATTTATTTTTGTTTGTTTGTTTTTTAATTTTGCCCTAGCTGGTTTGGCTCAATGGATAGAGCATCGGCCTGTTGTCTGAAAAGTCCCAGGTTCAATTCTGGTCAAGGGCACATGACTAGGTTGTTTGCTTGGTCCCCAGTGTGGGGCATGCAGAAGATAGCCCATCAGTGATTCTCTCTTATCACTGGCATTTCTACCTCTCTATCCCTTTCCCTTCCTCTCTGAAATCAATAAAAACATATAAAAAAATTTTTTTTTCTAACTTTCAACTTCCAAAATTATCAGCATTATTCTTTTAATATTATCTACAAATGCTAAAGTGTCTTAAGAAAGTAAATTTGGCAATGCTCAAGCTTCTCAGATCCACCTTTCCAAGCAAAATAAAATGTAGCATAATGAATTTATAACATCATTTATAGATACAGTACAACCTAGCAAAAAAGCATTTAAAAATTAACTATCACCACTATACTAGAATAAATGCTGGGAAAACAAAGCAGAATACGTAATTTTTCCCTCACATCCTTCCTGCCAGTAACATAATCATGACTCAACATTCAAAAAGCAAATTCATAAAAAAACAAAAATACCTCCTACGTAATTCCCAACAAAACACTGTCTGACTATGTGACATTGGCAACCAGTCAAAGCTTTTCTTTTCACACGTTAGTTGGTCAGGCTACCAGGAATGTCTTAAAAGGCAGAGGGTACCGTAAGTCATTCCAGGATTTAAATGAGTTCTTACCAGCATGAGATGGAAAAAAATACATTCTTCCCTTCTCCAACCTCAGATTACTGCCTATCATTCAGCTTAACAGGATTTTGGAAAGCAAAAGGTCTCAATATTTATAGGGATCCACACACACAAAAAAATGTTTTAGGTAAGTTTCCTGAAAATTTACTCTATGATTAACTAGAAGAAATTCACATTAAACGCATAAATCCTTAAACTGTGTATCTTAGTAGTTCAAGTTTTGAAATAACTGCAAAATTCTCATTCATAATATAGTCCTTATTGAAAATCTGATTATGTTTTTAAAAATAAAGCCTCACATATTCCTCTAACAAAACTGGATCTCTGTATAGAAAAATATCACATAGAAAAATAATACCCAAAGGAGCCAAATGATACACTAATCAGACCAAGGGTCATTTAGTCCTAAAAGGCTTTTTATCTCACACAAACCAACCAAAACAATAACCATGAAATAAGAACAACAAATTCTATAACTGGTTTGGCATTCATCCTTTAAAAATTATATACCAAAACAGCTTTTGTATATCTGATTTTAGCTTCCAGTAAATATCAAATGGAAGGAAACAGTTTCAGTTATTGCTAAAGCTGTTTAAAGTGTAATACAAAATTACCCTGATTTACTTTAATTCATGTCAGAAATCTATCAAGATGGTCTAAAATACAACCATGGATTCAGGGCCTGTTTTGTTCTCTACAGTATCCCCCTGACCAGTGCTTGGCTTACAGCAAATACTCAACAAAAATGTTAAATGTGAATGAAATAAGAAATTCTGAAATGTGTTTACTTGTTGGCTTTTAAACAAAAGGTAGTCAAGTATAAGAAGTTCTTGCAGATCATAAATAAAGTATTAATGAAAAAAACTTAGTTATTAAAAATGCTTTATTTTATAAGTCTGGATACTGAATTTTTAAAGGCTAATTAAAAGTTTTTAAGAAAAAATGAAAAATTGAATAAGAGGCAAGGTATCGTAAGACCTGGCAATGACAACTAACCTGTCCCTCTAAGAACTCATTCTCTCGTGACAAATCTCATGAGCAGTGCTCATGAGTAATACACATATTACTCTGGGCTTAGAATTCAGCGTTACAATGATTTATTCAGTAGGAATCTCTTATGATTATTGTATCTTCTGGGCGATTTGGGGAAAACCAAGATAAAATAGATATAGACCCTGCCCTAAGAAGTTTCCAATCCATTAGAGGAGATAAACATTTATCTACAAATAACTGGTCCAAGCATGGTAAAATAAGTGTTATGAGAAAAGTACGTACTAAGAGATACCAAGGAGAAAGTTAAAGGGGATGAGTAAGGTTTCACAGAGGTAATTTTTTGAGTTCAGGATTTGGACAGAGATGGGAAGGGGGAACGTATAATATTATAGCAGTGGGCCCCACTGGAAACAGCATAATGAGATGGGTGTCTGAATTTCTACTTAATGTGACTAGAAGAGGGTAGTGTTAGGAAATTAACAAGACATGCTGAAGTGCTCAGAAATTAGGAAAAGGCTGGGTAGCTTTCTTCATCCTAAACTGAAGGAAGAAGGAAGGAAACAATGTTAACCATGGACCAATCAAAGGAGCTACTCAAAGGACACTCTAGTTGTAGGAAATAGCCACTGCTAGAAAAGCATCAAATCAGAAAAGGAGCAAGATTAAATATTTGCAAAGTTTCTCTCTTTCTTCCATCTTCCGTTAACTCTAACCAGAAGCCAGAGGATAAAGGATGCCAGGTGACACAGGCTGTAAAGGTCAGCCTCCTGAAGCTGAGAGCAAAGAAAGGCAGAGAATGAACCTGCAGGAAAATGGAGAATAACCAGGAAAGGCAGGTATCTCCCAGATGCGGGGTTAGAATAAGCACCAAGAGAGACTGGAAAACAGGATGATGCCAAAATGAGGAACAACATTCTCTTGGAGAAGTATAAGATGATATTTTTCAGATACAGATGCTGAAACCAAAATTAGCAGCTAACCTGGAAAAACTACTGGAGTTTGGGGAGTTAAGTAAACCATGGTCGGAGAGCAGCACCTTAGTTCTCTAACAAAAGAATAAAAGAGCAAGAATCATAGGTCTCTA